AGCAAGTCGAAAATAAAGAACGGCATTTCGAAGAAGTAGCAAAGGGAAAATACGCAAGGACCCGTGTTTGCCTGACAATGAAAACCACGGACTTAAAACGTTTTATGCTTCGCTTCGTTTAAAATGACTATGGAGACAACCATCACCTTCTGACCAGAGACATATCACCTGAGAACAACAGTAGCTTTATAACTAAGTGTTACTCGTGTTGTTTTTAATTGTTTACGCTCTTCAATTGTGACTTTTCTTGCATGCAAAGTAACGTATAAAATCGTGTTCTTGTGTAAGTTATAATTATATAAAATAAGTTGGCGACCAAAATTTACGATCTGGCGACCAAAATTTTTTCCGTTAGTCGCCAGCTGGCTCCCGAACGAAAAAGTTAATTTCGAGCCCTGATAGGACGTGCGTTGAATCACGAGATCATGCTCCATTTCATTGCGTTAGACTGTAAATGCAACACTTACTGCTAGGCACTTGCTGATATCCGCTGGTAAAAATTCACATTGGCCTGTATATTTTGAAGGCCATGAAAAATCTAACTTTGCACTTTAATTTCCAGGGAATGTCCAAAATAGTTTTATCCTGGATAGCAACACTGGACGTCTCGCTCTCCCCAATCCACTTGACTACGAACGCGACTCGAACGTCTATTACATCAGAATACGAGCCACAGAGGTGGGCATCCTCTCGTACCAGTCCTCCGAAGTTAACGTTCAAGTCCTTCTTCAAGATGTTAACGATAATGCAGCAGAGTTCTCTCAACAACGTTACAGATACACTCTACCGGAAAGTGCCCCTGTGGGCACAACTGTGCTGTCGGTTTCAGCTCAAGACAGTGATTCTGGTATAAACGGCCAGTTCAGATATTACATGGAGAATTCCTACTTCACTGTGAATCCGTACACGGGGGAAATCACTACGACGAAACCGCTGGATTACGAGACCGCGCGCTCGCACACCTTTGTCGTGGTAGCGCAAGATGGCGGGAGCCCAGTGCTGAATGGGACCGTGCGAGTTGAAGTGACGCTTCAGAATGTGAATGACAACCCGCCACGGTTTTCACAACCAGTGTATAATGAATATGTGACTGAAGATGCTGGCCGGGGGGAACTGGTGACTACAGGTAAGGTGTTGTGGGAAACGCTATTAGAGAGCTTAAGCAATGGCTATGTCGACCCCGAGGACAACGCTTAGTAAAAAATAAATTTATATTTTACCTTCGAATTTCGCAATTGTCTAGATCTGTTCAGTGCGCTTATTGGTCTCAGAACTTGTTCAACTTGCTCCCATGCATGAGACCGCGCGCTAAGTAATGAAATGAACAATGATAGAGCAGATGGCCATTGCTATAGCTTTGCCTGGATTTAACGATCTTGGACGTTCGGTGACCTACTTTTCTTTAAAGAAACAGATTTTATATACAATTATCTCCACATTGTCCAAAAATGAACAAAAAATCAATGTGGGAAGTTAAAAAAATTTTCAACATTTCTGTCCACGGGACATGGAATCCTGCCATCTTGCGGCTGCAAGGCACGTGAAACTATGGACGCTAAATGCGAACTTGTTCTTTAAGAAACCTCGCCAGTTGACTAAATTTACTTAATAGGGCCACTTAAATAATATTGTAACATAACTAAAGCAAAGCGCGCGCTCTGATTGGTTAATTTAGCGTCTACTATTTGCCCATGGGTGTACGCTGCTGACGTGTGTGCTAATGTTTACAAAGCAAATCTTTTGACAGACATTGTTTCCAAAGTAATGGCCGACGTTCTTCTGCCAGAAATGCGAGACTGTCTTCATAGTTGTCTGAAGACGAAACTTTATCGAGTTACTGGTGTGCAGTCGGTTGTCATGAATGAATTTTCGCGCGCTTGTTTTCTCTTGTCATGTGNAACAAATGGTAAACGCCATAGCGTGCACTATTGAGTTATGGATGCACTTGGGAGGTTTGCTAAGCACTCAAGAAGCTAGAGTCGCACGAGGCGATAGCCCAGTGCGACTCTTAGGCTTCTTTCGTGCTTAGAAACCTCCCGCGTGCATCCATAACTCAACAGTGCACGCTATGGCGTTTACCATTTGTTATTTTGGTAGAGAACGTTTTACTTCAAAGATCTAATTGCAATATTCTTGGGCTTACAGACACTGTGGCCTTATTCGCTAAGGAAACCTGATTTTTTCAGATTTAGAGTGTTCTTACGGGCATGTTCTCTCCAAAATGAAGTCGGTGATCCCCCATTTTTAAGCGATGACGTATTGTGTGACGTCACCGCTTTATGCTGGCATGCATGCATTCCTTTGGATAGTGATTTCGCATAGTTTGTCGCGCTTATGTCCATGCGCTCAAGTCGTGCACGATTTATCCCCTGTGGAAGCGAAATGCACTCTGGGAGTTTCCTTTGCTGCATTCCTTTGCTGTTTGTTGGTTTAGCGGAGTGCTTTTAATTGTAGCTTTTAAAAGAAGATTTAGGGGTGGATTTTGGTTTAACCAGTATCGGATAAATTGGCGTTCACGGGCAAACTCATAATAAGAGCGTATCCTCTATACATACAAGTTTAGATAGACAAGTAAGTCGCAAAGGCGATAGGTGAAGGCTTTGCGGCTTTCCTTTGCTGTTTGTAGGATCAGCA